TGGGCATCTTCTACTGTCCCTATCATGGATGGAGGGGATGGACAATTCGATACATCAGGGCTGGGGAGAGGAGAAAGAGTGAGGGCTCTGGGCAGTTGAGATGCCAGCCCTCTGTACAAGCAGCAGCAATTTTTGTGTCATCTTTGTTGTGTTTAAAACTGTAAACAGCACCACTTAAAAATAAAATGTATCAGAAAAGAACTAATAAACATTGTTTTCCATGATTATAAAATGCAAACAATACAAAAATAGATAATTGACTACACACACACACACACACATATAAACTTGGGATGCAACATAGACATGGGTAAACTTGAAGTCTCCCTGCTAATTCCCTCATGCCTCCTTCTAGCAATTGGGCCTCAGATAGGTTGGGTGGTGGCACTGGCAAGGGTGGGTAAGTCACCAACAGCAGGATAAGGGAAAATACACCTTGGGTGTGAGAAGCTACTTCCCTCCTTGGTATAGCACAGAGGAGGGAGACTAGTGTTGAGTGAAGCCTTTGGCCCGGGAGGCTCGTGAACTGGTGCACAAGCTGAATCCAAGTGGGCAGAGAAGGCCCTATTTGGGCCCCAAGGCAGGGCTTCCTCAAAGGCGCTAAAGCACCTAGAAACTGGTGGCCCTAGAAGAGTTCTCTTAGGTGGCCTTTTCCATCCAGTCACTGTCCCCCAAGCACCAGTCTCATTTGGGAATTATCAGGATCAGAGCTCTCTGGCACTAGATAAGCCTGCTGGTTAGAGGTGAGAGCAGCTACCTCCTCTCAAGTCATATCTTCCCTTGAAGTCACATCCAAAAGCAATATCCCAAGGCCTTGCAATGCAGACCTGGTGTTTGTCTGGTCACAGCCTAGGAGATGTGGACTTAACATTGACACCTTTATTCAGGGCATATTTGGTGTCAGCCAAGCAAGCACTGGCCTATGCTTGGTAAGAGGCCTAGAGCTTGGCTGTCTCTCCCAGTGTCACCTTGCACTGCCATCACCCCATTTCCCTAGGCAGCTCTTCCTCTTCTAGGCTGTAGCTGGGATTCAGCCAGGAACTGCTTAGATTCAGAATGAAACTCTAGAGTAGTTAGGGTACATGCTTCTGTAACCATGCACCCTAACTGCCCCACTTCTGATGGTGAGGATCCTATCCTTGGGCTGGCCAGGACAGTGAAAGGAATTGCAGGCAGCAATGTTGTCCAAACCATAAGCTGCTAATCAGTCCTAGGCGCTACTCTGTGGTATGCAACCATCCAAAGCCCAGCAAAGTATGTCAGGGCTATGACTGCTCCCCTCAGAGGCAGCACTTCTTGTCACTGAGGGCAGCTCTGAGCCTTTGGCCAAAGGCTGACCACCTAATTTTTCTCTTCCCAGATAGGCTGGTGGCCCAATGAGCTCTGGAGGCTGGTGATGGCTCTATTACCTGCTGTGGCTGCCACAGTCCACATCCAATCAGGAGTTTGAGCTGTCCTAAAGCACAAGCAGATACAGAGGTGGCAAGTTGTGGGTTTTCCCCTGTTGTAAAGGCATTTGGTGAGTGTTTACTTCCTGCCAAACAGCCAGGCCAACTTCAACCCCATCTTCCTAGGGCAACTTTGGTGAAAGTTGGAATTTGGGCACTTCTCTCCTGGAATGCTGTGCTTGGTGTGAGGAGGGTCTTCCTCACCCCATTTCATTCTCCGGCTCCATGACTGATACATTTCTTCATGATGCAAAGTCAGCCTAGAGAGCTGGTGTGGGTCCCTTGAGTGGTAGTGGTAGTGCCATGCAAACTGATGTTATGCTTTCAGGGGTACAGCTACTACCAGCCAAGCCTGATTTGGGGGAAGCACTGGGCTAACCCCAGTGTGAGAAATGATGACAAAGACCAGCACAAACTATCTCCTTGCCAAGGGGCAATTTGCGCACGAAATCACCTTTGTGACTGGAGGGGGGGGGCGGGCAACAGCATCTATTCCCAAGCCAAATTGTCATATTTCAGGAATGGCAGGAGCCCTGCTGACCTCTTAACAGGTAAGGAGATGAGTGGAGGTGGGTGCAAGAACAGGGGTGGCCATCGGAGGAGCAAGGATCATAATTTGGGTCAACACTTCCAGGCAAAAAATGTTCCATATGCTATTTCCAATAAAGAAATTTAAAAGGAACACTCTCGTATTGGTGATTAATGAGAGGCTGAGCCTGGTAGATTAGCCTGTTGCACTGTCTTCCTGACAGCAACTTTCCCCCACCAGTATTTCCAAACTAGTTTAACATTAGAACTGTGTGGATGCAGAGAAAAGAGGGTATCATTAATTCCATAAAGGGCTGCAACTGCCATGTAAATGAGCATCCTGAAGCTTTGCAGAATGAGGGCAGGTCAGTCTTTCCTCTCAAGAAGCCTGGTCCTACCCGGCCAGCATGGCTCAGTGGTTGAGTTGACCTATGAACTAGGGAGGGGGTCATGGTTTGATTTCTGGTCAAGGGCACATGCCTGGGTTGCAGGCTCGATCCCCAGTAGGGGATCTGATCAATGAGGCAGCTGATCAATGACTCTCATCATTGATGTTTCTATCTCTCCCTCTCCCTTCCTCTCTGAAATCAACAGAAAACATATTTTTAAAAAAGAAGAAAAAACCTAGTCCTTTGATGATGCTAAGAACTTGGATAATTGGAAAATGAAAGCTCTTTAGAGAGCCCAGAACAGCAGTCTAGATGCCTTTGGGATCCTGTCTCTTGGGAGTGCTAGTCTGGAGCCTCTTTGCAGCATCCACATGAATGAGTGGGCAAGGCATAAGGAACTTTTTGGGGTTTTTTTGGGGGGGGGTCAATTTTCCCTTCTAAGAAACTGGGTTGCATTGAGCTCTGCAAAATCTGAAATCCTTTTCCTGCTGGCTGGGGCAAATGGACCTCTATTTCCTATCCTTCCTCTGGAACATGCAAAAAACCCAACCCCTATAGCCAAGCCTAATTTAGGCTGCTTCTCTTCTTGTATCTCAATTAAAAGAATGTATTCTTTGTGATGAGATTATGGAAGTTTCCTTTGAAGGAAAAAGGAACCAAAATTCAAAAGCACCTACAACTTAGGAAGTTGCAAGCTTAAGAGAAGAAAAGGAAAAAAATTCTATCATTCCAGAGCTCAAGACATAGCAGTGTCTATAGTAAAACCCTATTCTGTCTTCTGTTTGCAACTGGATTAATTTGATCATTCCATTAAAGGGATTAGCATTTTTGTCTTCAACCCAGGCTATGGCAGGGCAGATTAAAAGACCCCCATTTGGTTATAATGCCAAAGTCCACAGCAGTAGGCAGTGAGATACATGCTACATGATCCTCTCTAAGGACAGCTAGCTGGGACAAACAGATTATAGTTACCTGATGTAATGGTGGCAGCTATGCCAAGATGGAATGGAGTGGGGGTGGGGAGGATCTGTACCATAATTTCACATTGCTAACAGCAAACAAGCCCTCTGTCCCCATATAGGAAACAGTGCAGACCTGGCTGTTTATCAGTGGTTCATCATTCACTGGGTCGTAGGGTGGCAGGGGGCACTAGGGGTTCAGCCTGTGTCAAGGATGCATGCCATATATATATATATATATATATATATATATATA